CTCAAATAAGAAATTCAGACAACTGTATTCTGCCTATTTGGGGAACATCTACATAGTTTTAAGTACCTATTATGTGTTGTTATTAACATATATTATTTGTTAAAGGACAGGAGAACGCTCCATCAGAAAAGTGCTTGCACATCAATGTTTATTGCAGCATTATTCACAATTGCCAAGACATAGAACCAACCTAAATGTCCACAAACTGATGAATGGATTGGAAAAGTGTGGCATATATACTCTATGGAATACTACTCAGCCATAAAAAATAGCAGGACCCTAGCATTTGATAAAAAGTGGTCAGATATGGAGGGTCTATTGCTGAGTGAAGTAAGCCAGGCTATGAAAGAAAGATATCGTATGTTTCCACTTAATATATATCACCTATCTGCACTCTATGGTAAAGAGCAAAATACTGGAGGACATAAAAGCAGTGAAAGTACTTAACAAGAATAAGACAGTGTGGAATGGGGGGAGTGAAGAGAAGAGGATAGAGAAAGATAGTAAGAGAACAAATAGAGAGGCATGACATTAGTGGGACACAGATATGACTTATTACCTGTTGATGATGACGTGTATAGTATTCTCAACTGGATTGGTCTGAGAAGTATTTCATGATGGGTAAAATCTTTTTACAAGCAAAATGAGAAATAGTGATTGACTGTTTAAAAAAATAATTGGAATAATAATAATGATGATCTGGAAAAACAATGAAAAGATATTGAATGATAAAGTGGGGAGTTTAATGTCTCTGTATCAACTGACCTGCATGGTATTCCCTTTTGACAAAGCAGTATAATACTCTATACAGTTATATGCAATTCATTGTAATATAAACAAGATCATGATGATAATTTTAAAAATTTAAAAATTAAAAAACATATTATTTGTTTACTTTCTACTTTTAATATCTCTTCTTTACAAATAAACTGATAAAATAAAAACTCAAAACAGAACAACTCTTATTTAATCATTTTTCACATTTTATCTTTTCCTTCTTACCTTTCAGAGCTTGCTCTGTACTTTCACTTAAAAATTTTCCATATTATTATAGATATTGTGCATTACATTTGTCAATATTTTATAAATTTCCTCTATTTTCTCAGAAAATGTTTTCTTAAGTGTGGCATATATACACTGTGGAATACTATTCAGCCATAAAAAAGAGCCTGACAAATTATAGAAAGTGGTCAAATATGGAAGATTTATTGCTGCGTGAAGCAAGCCAGGCTATGAAAGAAAGAAATCATATGTATCCAATTAATATATATCAACTATCCACACTCTATGGTAGATATTGAAATATTGGAGGACATAAAATTAGTGAAAATAGTTATAGATGCTGAAGACAGCATGAAACAGGGAGAGGGGAGGGGGGAGTATAGAGAAGGAAATCAGGGAGGAAAAGATAGAGAGGCATGACATTTGTGGGACACAGATATGGTTTATTATCTGTTAATGATAACATGTATAGTATTCTCAACTGGACTGGTCTGAGAAGTATTTCTGGTTGAATAAATTCTCTTTACAAGCCAAATGATGTAAAGCAATCTAATGTTTAAAATAAAATTAAGAACAACAATAAAAATAAAATAAAATAATTATAATAACCTAAAAAAATGAAAAGCTATTTGCTGATAATGATGTGTATAGTAATGTCTTTGTCTTGACTGATATGCATGGTAATCATGCTGGAAGAAGAAATGCTATACACTACACTGTAAATATATATTTGATTAAATGTTAACAAATAATAATTTAAAAAAATTTTTATATATGCAAACCCTCACTACTCTGTTCCATTGCACTATGGTGAGGACATTTAGATTCTAAGTCTTGCTTCCAGGTGCCACAAGTAGTTGTCTCAGTATTTTCTTTGAGTTGGGTGTTCCTCATGACTTCCAGTCTAATGGTGAGGGTGATGATAAAAATGAAAGGAGGTCATTCTCCAAGAAATTCATTTAATTAATGTGATCTATAATTATATTTACATATATATGCATGTGTGTGTGTGTGTTTGTGTGTGTGTGTATTTTTTTAAAGAAATGAGTCCTTGAGATCAGCAGATGGCATAATGGTTAAGTTGCTGGACTCCAGGTAGTACTCCATGGTTTGAGTCCTGAACCTGGTGACCTAAAACTCATGCTGGGCATGCATGTCTAAGTTCCTGAGAGGGGAACGGAGGAGAAAAGATTGTGATGTGGCCATCCCCGTGGAGGTGATTTATCACATTCTCTCTGTTTCTCCAGTGAGTGCACATACCTTAAAGAAAAAAGAAAAAAAGAAGAAGAAAGAAAGAAAGAAAAAGAAAAAAGAAAGAGAAAGAAAAAAGAAGAAAGAAAGAAAGAACAAAAGAAAGAAAGAAAGAAAGAAAAAGAAAGAAAAGAAACTCAAAAAAGAAAGAGAAATGAGTTCTTTTTTTTTCTTCTTATGAAACTATGACTGTCGTTAACTCATTAACTGCAATGTTTAGAATTAAAGGACACTCTTTTTAATTTCTACAAATAAGATTACAAGGAAGTAAACAGAAGCACAGTAGTAACATGCAATGGTCTGCCAGACTGAGCTACTTGGGAAGGTTCTGTATTTATTTCCAGAGACCTCCCCAAGCACACAGGCAATTGAATGCTCATGATCTAGGACTGGCTAAAGCTGGAGGTGGATCTGAACACTTGCTTGGTGTCTTGTGCTCTTTCTCTCCTTTCTCTCTTTCTCTCTCTCTGTCTCTCTGTCTCTCTCTCTCTCTCAGAAATAAACTTTTTTTTGGGGGGGGGAGTTGCCATAGAGCAAATGTATACACTGGAGAGAGACAGTGAATAGGAAAGTGAGAAATCACCCCCCCATACACCAAGGGTATAGCCACACCAAAATCTCTTCTCCATTCTCTCCCTGGGATTTTGGGCATGCACACACACAAACAAGCTCAGAATGATTTCAAACCACCAGGTCTAGGACTTGAACTAGAGTCAAACATGTGGAAGTCCAGGGTCTTAATGAGCATACCATCTACTGGCCCCAATAAATAAACGTTTTTAAAAAGATCATATTATGCCTAAAGAGACTGTTTTTAAATGTTTAGTAAAATGTGAAGAGACCCACAGCCAAATCATGTGATCCTGAGGTTAAGATCTGATTTCCTAAAAGATGGAAATCAGTCCAATTTATTTATCAGAGGGGATGTGCACTCGCCTAAGACAGAGAGAGAAAAAGAGAGAGAAAGAGAGAGAGAGAGAGAAAGGAAGAGGGAAAAAGCACCCCTCAATAGGCATGGTCATGCCACAACCCCTTCTCTTCCATTTCTCCATCCTGTCAGGATTTGCGATATGTATGTACATATTCAGTGTGTTTTCCAAACCCTGGTGCCAAGATTTGAACCATGGAGTTGATCACCTGGCATCCAGTTGCCTTATCTACCAGACAACATAGTTATTCCCAGTATTCTAATCCTCATTCTTGTTCAGAGATTCATACAACCTAGACCACATTGGGATAGAATTTGTTCAAAAACATGACACAAACTTCCAGGTTAGGCTTGATCACACTGCCCAGATCCTCTAAGTCAGTTACGATGCTGATTAGGCTGGCTATGGTGGTATAGAGTAGGTTAAGTGTATGAAATAGAAGACTTGAGAACACATCTATCTGGGCGAGCCACTGGGTCTGCATAAGAATCAGTTTTCTAAATTATAGATTGAGGGAAAATGTTAATACCTCCACTATAGAATTGCTGTGAAAATTAAATGGAGAAACAGTGGTTTGGAGTCATACTTTACAAATTCAAACACATCTCACATCTTAACTGCATGAATTTGTGCATTCCACTACTGCTTCTGTTCCCAGAAAATGTATTTGTAAAATAGAAATAATGATACTATGTCATAGGGTTGTTGTGAGAAATAGTTAAGTTCATACATGGAACATGCTTAAACTAAAACCTAGCACACAGTAGGTTAAGATTATGGTTTACTAAGTAGTTTAAATAAATAAAAAATTCTTTCTTCTTGTTTGTTTCTTTAAATGGAAACATAAACTTTTCTTCCTTCCTCACTCCTTTGGAATTGGAAAATATTTGAGAATATTCTTATTTTGTGGCTGCCTAAGTTCAATAATACCTGTTGAATTGAATCAGAAATTGGAAATATTTGTTGATTGGTCAGGGCTTTGACTGGAATGTCATATCTGAAGATTAATCAGAAAACTATGGAACTAAGATAGATCACAAGCCAACAGAAGCTTTTGAAAAGATGGCCTGGCTCCATAACCAGTTCTGCCTGGCAGATTAGAAAGCTATATGAAAGAATTTGTACCATAAAATAACCTGGACTTTTCCAGCCCAGCATCGTAACCAGTAGAGATTGCTAAATAGCAACCACAACCAGAGGATTACTTTAAGGAAGACTCTGAAGGAAGAAAAATAGACTGATCTTTGTTAGCAGATTGTCTGTCACAGAATACTTAGTAGGCAGGGCTGAACTGAGAAGGTTTATGTGTAACACGTGTGCTGGGTGTTTGCTTTTCAACACTTTGAGTAGATGACATGTAAATATTTTCTCAAAAATATTTAAAACCAACAGTTGTCTCTGTTGTTATAGAGTCACAAACAAAATTATAACAAATATATTGAACATTATCTTTAAAATTAATATTTTGAAATTTTGAAAGTTGCTTATTAACTGTCAAGAACTATGGAATATGAACAAAAATGTTTTGATATGTAAAGTAAATGTTTGTGGGAAAATGTAAAAATAAATAAATAAATGATTAAAAAATTCTTGGCATCTACAGAGTTCAATGGTATTGGTAATTATTAATATTATTACCGCTAATGTTGTTTCCAAAATGGTTTACAAGTGCTTAAAAGTGAGAGTTAGAAACAATAAATACAATAGTGATAATTGTCTAATAATCTAACCAATCAGGTAAGCAGTATTTGGTAGATCCTAAGTGTGTTATTGATAAGTGAAAACTTCATACATCATCTGAAATGCAAAGAAGGGATCCTAGGTATAAAGTCTGATAGTTGCCTTTCTCAAAGCCTCCTTTACATCTTTATTCCTGAGACTGTAGATGAGGGGGTTCAACATGGGGATGACCACTGTGTAGAACACAGACACCACCTTGTTCTGGTCAGTTGAGTAGATAGACTTGGGCATCACATAAATGAATGTAATGGTCCCATAGTACAGAGTGACTGCGGTGAGGTGAGAGGTGCAGGTAGAGAAGGCCTTGTGGCGCCCCTCAGTGGAGCGCATCTTCAGGATGGTGGTGAGGATGGAGATGTAAGAGAAAGCGATGAGAATCACTGTGACCTCAATGATAGATCCAGAAGAGATGGAAGGAATCACTCCAAACACAGAGATATCAGAGCAGGACAGTTTCAACCAAGGAGAGAAATCACAGAAAAAGTGATTTATCTGATTTGGTCCACAAAAGGAAAGATTCAATAAACAGCTAATAAATATCCAACCATTTACACAGCCACCCAGATAGGAAGCCCCCACGAAGAGGATGCAGACTCTGGGCGACATGTGTGTAGAGTAGAGCAGGGGTGAGCAGATGGCCACGTAGCGATCATAGGCCATGGCCCCGAGCAGGAAGCACTCAGCAGCGCCGAACAAGACTACAGAATAGAGCTGGGCTTCACAGCCAGGGACAGGAAGGACCAGTTCTTGTGTAAGAAATCCAATCAGCATTATAGGTGTGACTGATGTGGATAAGCAGATGTCCACAAAAGCCAAATGGCTGAGGAGCAGGTACATAGGAGTATGGAGCTGGGAACAGCTTCTTATTAAGGTGATTATGCTGATATTGCCCATTAAGGTAACTGCATAGATTCCCAGAAATAGCACAAAGAAGATGACACAAAGTGTAGGGTCCTTTGTTAACCCCAAAAGGATGAACTCTGTCACAACGGTGCGGTTTCCAATCTCCATCTCCTCTGTGAACTGTACCTGTTGAGGGAAAATGTGGATAATAATTCATTATATGCTTTCATTTCATACGTTTCTGGTTTTCTTTGGTTGCTCTTCAGACTTATTCACAGAGACTTTCTCCTATGCTCAGTCTGTAAATATTGGTGTTATACAGATTTTTTTTTAACTCTTCATAATACAAGAATGATTCAGCCTCACTCTATAGGATATTAGTTAGAGTCTTTTTCTCATAATACTATTTGTATAAAAATGCCTTTCAAATCTGGACTCCTAGACAAATCTCTCTCTCTCTCAAAATTTCATTAAAAACTTAAAAAAAAAGGAGGGGCAGGAGGTGGTGTGATGGTTAAGGTGCTGGATTCTCACATGGGTGACCACAATTTGAGTTCTAGACCCAGTGGTTTGAAAATCATGCCAGATGTGTGTAAACGCATGCCCGAGATTCCTAGGGAAGAATTGAGAAGAGATTGTGATGTGACCATTCACCCCGGAGGAGGGATAGTGGTGAATTTATTACTTTCCCTCTCTCCATCTCTCCCTGGCAAGTGCACAACCCCCATGGCAAAACAAAACAAAACAAAAACAAACAAACAAACGAAAAAGAAATATGTTCTGTACTATGAGTTAAGCATATCCCCGTGATGTGTAATAATGACAACACTAAGTCAAAGTGTTCCCTAGTGATCATTGTTTTGTTGAGTGCCTGCTTACATTTTTATTAAAGAGCTTAATACCTACTCCATTTTACTCCCCATTGTGCTGGGACAAAGAAAAAGCTCCTGTATTTGGAGGCAGTCTTTAAAAGCAGAATTATTGAAAATTGTAAAGGGAAGATACAAAGATACTACAGCAGCCCAGGGCAATGATTTGGGGGCATACTAAAGATTCGGTAAAAATTAGAAGATAAAGTTACATTTATCAAAATGAGAAAATGAGAGTGTGAAATTTTAAAAATATTTCTGTCAAATAGCATAAAATAACAATTTTAACACTGGGATTTATCTTAGGAATCTGATATTTTCACTTGTGCACATTCTTTCCATTAAATTCAGCTAAATGCAATCATTTTAGGTAAATTCTACAAATTACAAATTATTTTTGAATATCTTTTTTAATGTTTTGCTTATTATTTAACAGCTAGAAATTAATATCTAAAAATCTTTAATAGTGCCTCACAATGCATTCAATTTATTTTAATTTTGAAGTTATGTAAGTACTATTTACATATTTATAAATCATATTGTGTATTTTACTTTGCAATTTACATTTTGACTTAATATTATCAATAAAGTATTTCCTATTTTTCTAAGTAATCTTCATAACTGAAGTACTAGATGGATTATATGTCAAACCCATTAGCATGCTATTAATGGACTTTCAGAATGTTTCTTAAATTACTTTTATAAATGTAACTCCCTATTACATATGTTTCCTTACAACTTTTGTTATTTTTGAGAGTCGTGTTAACATGATACTAAGATTTTCTACTCAATATTATGGTTATATTGTTCATAGAAACACAATTTTCTACTAAAAATATTATTGCAAGTTTTAAAATTTTTTAGAGATGGCATGTGAGATTACCAGAAAGAGAAAGAAATGAAGAGAGAGATAGGGGAAATAAGAAATTGTCCAATGTGGAGCATGGTCACCCCACAATCTTTCTCCTCCATTTCTTCCTCTTTCCGTGATTTTGAGTATGCACAAACATGCGCCCAGTGTATTTTCCAAGCCACCAGCTCTGGGACTTATGCTGCACTGTTGGCCATGTGGTATTCAGCCATTTTAACCAACATACCACAGACTTTGCCCTGCAGTTCTTAAAATTTTAGCATTTACATAAATATTAAATATCAGCAACAAATGTCTTTAAAATGACTTGATTTCTTACAAATTTTTTAATGATTTACTTTAGATTAAGTGTTTCATATATTCAGTGGGGAGACTGAGTTCTTTGAGTGAACTGTGAGGTACAATTAACTCTCTGTATCCATAGATTTCACACCCTCCAATTCAACCTTCTGTAGATGAAACTGTGACTTTGCTTCTGATGTGGACTATGAACATAGTTAAGTCTACCATGGTCATAACCATCCTGAGCATGTACAGACCTTTTTCTTTGTTCTTTTTGTCTAAAAAAATCAGTATAACAACCATTTACATAGCATTTACATTGTATTAAGTATTACAAGTAATCTAGCACTGAGTTAAAGTTACAGAAGAATGTTCATCAGTTATATACAAACACCACATCGTTTTATGTAAAGGACTATAGCATCCTTGGATCTTGGTGTCTGCAGAGGGCCCTAGAATCAATCCCCTGAGGATACTGAGGGACAGCTATTTAATGAACCAACAGTTCATTGAAGAATGCATTTTATTTTGTCTTTGATTGATCCATGTTTAAGTTACCATAGTGTCTTGCAACTTACAACTTTTGGTGTTAGCTCTATCATTACAGTCGGTTAATCTTATCTTTTGTATCCCATGAGAAACGATGTACTTTCTATGTAAAAATATTGAAATGTTCTAATACAACTATTGTACCTTCCCTTCCCCTTTTTTTTCTTTTTTTATTTTTTTCTTCTTTTCTCCTTTTTTTTTCTTTCAATCACTATTATGAATAGCATATACATATACACTATGGAATACTACTCAGCTATAAAAAACAGTGAAACCCTGTCATTTGATAGAAAGTGTATAAATATGGAATATTTAATGATAAGTGAAGCAAAACAGACTTAAAGAAAGGCATTGTATGTCCTCGCTTAATATATACTGAATGTCTACACTTTATGGCAGAAACTAAAAGATCGGAAGGTATATATTCCCATTTTTGTGTTTTTTTTTAAATTTACACATTCCATCAGTATACAACGCATAGCTTGTAAAGTGAATTTTCCAACATGAATATATTTCACACGATTCCTTTCTCTATAATTTAGCATCTGTGATTCCTTTAGCCATTCCACCTGTGATGGGCCTTTCAGATCACTCACAGTTCCTCCTGTCAGCTTCTGAACATACTTTGTTCTTAGAAATGAAGCTAAACACTGAGTAGCATTTATGTCCTTTGCTTTCTGCCTGAAACAGAGGTCAGTGAGAACAACTCTGTCTTTATTGAACACACGATATAAGCTTCTATCTGTGTCGACGACTCATGGAGAAAAGTCACACAGCAGATCCTAGGCTTCCCATGGGTCAGCTGTATTAACTTGCCCATAATCTCTCTCAGTCTCCATTTGCATTTGTGACACATGAATAATTATCCCTATAATACAGCCTGTGTACCTACAATACAGGCTTATGAGGTTAACAGAAATAATATCTAAAAGGTACCTGGAGGGGTTTGTTCATACATCAGAATTAAATAATTAATTTTGATGAAGTAAAAATAAAGTGTTGATAATTTTCAATAATTTTTCTAGTTGACACATAACTGTACATATTCATGAGTTACAGTGTAATGTTTCTACACGTATATATGGTATAAAAAAAAAATCCGGGTAATTGGCATAGTCATCACCTCTTCATGATGAGAACAATCAAAAACCCCTGTTTTTACTATTTTGATACACATTATCATATATACAGTACATTTTTGTTAACTAAGATCACCCTGCAGTGCAATAGAACATCAGAATTTATTTCTCCTATCTAATTGTAATTTTGTTCTTGATGCTCAGTCTCTTCACGTCTTCCTCTTCCCCTACCTTCCCTAGTCTCTAGTCACCCCTATTCTATCCTCTATTTCTATGAGATCAAGTTTTTTAGATTCCACATAGGAGTGAACTCATGCAGCATTTGAATGTCTGTGTCTGGCTTACCCACTCATGTCAGGGATTTGCACCACAAATCCAAAACAAAACAAGAAGTATAGTATTCTTAGTTCTGGACTGTGCCTTTCGGATACATAACATGCCATCTGTATCTTGCCCTCCTCTGCCTCTGAAGTGTTTAAAGTACTACTAGAACTCTCCACTTTGACATCTATTCATGCTTTTCCACCTAGACATGGATTATTAACTACTTAAATATTCCTTTATTTGATGCATGGACCACTTTTAATGATAAATAGAAGTTCTAGCACTGAGAGGCTCAGCCAATATGAGTAGCAGCTGTTTCTTCTGATTTCCATTTCACATTCTCACTTATGCTTAAGCTTAGCAATGGCTTTGACCACTACAGACTACTCACACTGTGTCTGGGGACCCTGAGAAGCCCAGGTTGGGCGTGCACTAAATGACCATTTTGTGGTGCATCTCTTTCTGAGACCACAGTTTCTAACTGGGTCAAGAAATACTTTACTTAGGAAAAGTAATTCTCTTGTTTTAAATTTTTGCAGAACATATATAAGAATTTAATTTATTTGAACAAGAACCATGAATCTTGCACTCACCTTCTAAAGCCAGAATTATTGATGCTGAACTCCAAAGAATTTATTAAGCATCATTTTTTATTTAGTTTTATAGGTAGTTGGGGACTGAATACAATGTAAACCATCGAATGCTCCCCTTGGACAAGGAACATATTTACATAAATGTGTGGGGCTTAAGGTGGATATCTTTGTTGGGTGAATGGCCTTTTTAATAGAGCATAAGAAATGCCCTAGGGCTGCTGTTGTTTGTCCCTTTGAGAAAATGGTCACAGAATTTGGTATATAGAATTGAGTCGTGAAGCCAGGGAACTCATTAACCTGGCTGAGCCTTTCCCAAAGGAGTATCTATATGCCATGGTGTCCTTTGTAAAATTTTTTCCCTTTGTTTCACAAATGTGATAGAAAGAGTTCTTGGTTTCCCAGAAGCATGTACAACATTCAGAACAGGGTCGGGGGCTGGGTCCAGGACTTGAACCGTGGTTAGCTACGTGGGAGTTCAGCAACATAGCCATTACGCTAACTGCTGGTCCCCCAGTTTGATTTCTTAATAATACTGAGCCTTCTTTTTTCAATCCAAAATGCATTTATTGGGGTGGTTTCCCATTCATCTTGACTCAGGATGCTTTCAGTGCTGCTTCCTCCTGAAGGAACATCCTTCTGTAAGCCTCACTTTTCCTCCAGTAGGCTGGCAGAGGACAGTAGAGCAGTCAATGCACAGAACTGTCGTTTGTGCCTGGCTAAAGACTGTGGTGATTTTATAACGCCCTGGGCACTGCACATCCATGAAGTAGCAATTCAGGCTCTGCACCAGGCGCTTCTTCTTGTGATGCCTCTTCTCTCCTGGAGAGGGATGAGGGAGATACTTTGCAAGAGGCATATTCTTGTGAGGAGGTTTTCACTGCCCAAAAGGAATACTAAGTCTTCTGATTCAGGAGTTAGGAAATGTTTACATGTTTCCACAAGCCACCATTCAGTCCACTGCAAGAACCAAGCTCAGTCCTCCCTTGTTTAAAAAATTGTTACTTCATGGTGAAAGTACAACACAGAAATCATGTTTGTATGTTGAAATGAGTGTCTGAGAATGTTCAAGTCTGTACTTCCCTGATCTTATCTCCTCAGCTAACTCACGCTGACTGGACTCCAGCCACATTTCCTTCCTGCTGTTTTTCTTTCTTTTCTTTTTTAAAAGAGTTATTTTATTTGAATTTTATTATTATTATTTAATTTGACCAGAGAGAGAGAGGGAGGGAGGGAGAGAGAGAGAGAAAGCTGCTAGACCCAGGACTAAAACTGAGGTTGGCCATGTGAGTCCAGTGCCTTGACCACCATGCCTCCTGCTGGCCCCCATGCTGTTATTCAAATGCTTTAAGTAGGGCCTTTGCACTGTTCCCTTGCTTTGATCTCTCAGTTCATTTAGATCTCTGCCCAGTATCATATTACTAGAGGGACTCTCATTGACCTATTTAAAATATCCACTCTTTACTGCCCTCCATCCCCTTTACTGCTTTATTTTTCTTTTAAGTACTTACCACCATCTGACATATTTTATAATTGTCTGTTGTTTGTCTGCGCAAATTATGATGTAAGCCTCATGACTTAAAATACATTTTTTTAGAGAGAGATTTTTGCTATGGGGTGTGTGCACTCGCCAGAGAGATAGAAAGCAAGAAATCACCCCCCCCCCAAGGGGGGATGGCCATGCCACAGTTCCTTCTCCTCCATTCTCCTCTTGGGATCTTGGACATGCGCGCATATGCACCCAGCGTGAATTTAAGCCACCGGGTCTGGGACTCGAGTCATGGTCAACTACATGGGAATCAAGCGACATAGTCATTGTGCCAACTGCTGGTCCCTTTCCTACCTTTGAAATGGAGATTAAAAAATTATATCTAGGGGCTGGCAGGTGGCATGGTGCTTAAGGTGCTGGACTCCCACATGGCTGGCCATGGTTCGAGTCCCAGACCTGGTGGCTTCCTTTCTCCCTTTCCCTCTCTCTCTCTATCTCTTTCTCTGTGCCTCTCTCTGGTCAAATTAAAATAAATGAATGAATAAATAAAATTATATAAATAATAATTTAAAGAAACAGGGTCAGATGGGGCACAGCAGTAATTCAACACTCTGAAATGCTTGACCCACATGGGAATGTTCTCAGTTCATGCCTTGCGATTTCCATTTCCATGTTAGGCATGTATTTGCCTGTGATCCACACTGTCTGGGACTGGGGAAGGATAATAGCATGAAGATCCTTTTGAGAGCGACTCTCTCTTCTTCCTGCCTCTGTCTCTCTTTCTCATGAAAAAAGGAAAGAAAGAAAAAAGAGAAAGAGAGAAACTTTTAAAAATTCAGAAGTTTATCTCCTTTTTTGTTATTTAAATAAGCCTGATGTCAGACTATCTTTTCATTAAAATAGCCTTTGACTCAAGCTGAAAAGGATCATTAGAGGTGAAGATAAAATAATAAGGAAGGAAATTATTACTTTGACTTGGTGACCATTTAACTGGAAAAAAAAAAAAAAAAACAAGATGATTCTGGCATTGTGTGTATATGAGATTATCATTTATTTAAGTCTCTTGAAACTCTTTTTCCCATCCCTCAACAGAACAATTTAGAACACTCTTCTAAGGCATTTAAGCACTCACATTTCGTTGAGAGACAAGGCAATAAGCCAAGTACATTAAATACTTGGTTCAATTCATGCCCTAAGTAGCTCATCTTCTTTCATATTCCTTAAGGGTTAAAATTGGGATCCATCACTTCTACAACTCCTTTGACAAGTTCCAGCAAGCAGAGGCATCTCAAAGTAATTTATAAAACCAACTTTGTATATCTTCAAGTTCCACATACTGGAGCTTGTTGAAGGAGAATGTATGGGGACCAGCAGTTAGCATAATGGCTATGTTGCTGGACTCCAAGGTAGTCGACCGCGGTTTGAGTCCCGGACCTGGTGGCTTAAACTCACACCGGTCATGTGTGTGTGTATCCCCAAGATCCCGAGAGAATGGAGGAGAAGGGATTGCGGCATGGCCATTGCCCCCTGGGGGCGATTTCTCGCTTTCTGTCTCTCTGTCTCTCTCTGTCTTTCTGGCGAGTGCACAGGCCCTATAGCAAAAAACTCTCCAAATAAAAAAAAAAGAAGAAGAAGAAGAAAGAGAGAATGTATCACCTTTGGAGTAAGGGGAGCTACAATGTTGATTTATCTTCCTGTATAATTAATTACTACAAAGTATCATTTTTTTTTTTTTTTTTAGCTTTTCTTAGTTTTCCTTGTAAAGGTTTGACATCTTTGGTTAGATTTATTCCTGGGTATCTTATACTTTTTATGGCTATGGTAAATGGAATTACTTTCTTCAGTTCTATTTCAGTCTCCTGTTGTTCATATACAGAAATGCTATAGATTTTTGTATGTTGATTTTGTGTCCTGCCACTTTACTGTATTCATTTATTACTTCCAGGAGTTTTTTCCATAGATACCTTAGGGTCTTCAATGTATACAATCAAGTAATCTGCAAGTGGAGATAATTTCACCTCTTCTTTCCTGAAATAAATATTTTTTTAATTCAGTATCTTTTCTGATTGCATTGGCTAGGACTTCCAGCACTATACTGAAAAAGAGTGGAGAAAGTGAGCAGCCTTGTCTTGTGCCAGATTTTAGTAGAAAAGTTTTTAGCTTTTCCCCATTCAGTATGATGTTAACTATGGGTTTTTAATAGATAGCTTTTATTGTGTTGAGAAAGAACACTTCTATGCTGATTTTGCTGAGAATCTTAATCATGAAGGGATGTTGTATTTTATCAAATACTTTCTGGACTGATTGATATGATTGTATGGTTTTTATTTTTAATTTGTGTTAATATGGTATATTATGTTGATAGTTTTCCAAAGTATGAACCAACCTTCCATTCCTGGAGTAAAACCTACTTGGCCATGATGCATAATCTTTTTTATATGTGTTGAATACAATTTATTAGTATCTTGTTAAGAACTTTTGCATTTTATAGTTTAATCAACTCGACTAAGGAGAAATGTTCACATACTGAAATATTCACTTTGTAAGCTAAAAAGTGTGACTGAATGTATAAAAAGGTGAAATAAAAAAAGAAAGAGAAAAAAAAGAAAAAAAAGAATTTTTGTATCTATATTCATCAGAGATATTGGTCTGTAGTTTCCCTTCTTTGTCATGTCCTTGTCTGTTTTGGGGATAAGGATGTTAGAGGCCTTATAAAATGAATTTGGGAGAGGTCCTTCCTTTCGGACCTTTAAAAATAACTTGAGTAGAATGGACATTAATTTGTCTTTAAAAGTTTCATAGAATTCAGAAGTGAAGCCATCAGGAACTTTTCTTTGTCGGGTGGTTATTTATTACTGATTTGATCTCATTGCTTGTTATGCATCTATTCAGGTTTTCTTTGTCTTCTTGATCAATCTTGGTAGATTATATGTGCCCAGGAATTTGTCTATCTCATCCTGGTTTTCTTGTTTATTGTCACTCATAGTGTCCTGTAATGATATTTTGCTTTTCTACTATGTCTGTTGTAATATTTCATGCTTCATTGTGAATTTAATTTATCTGGTTTTTCTCTCTTCTTAATTAGTGTAGCTAATAGAGTATTTATATTGTTTATCTTTTCAAAGAACCAGCTTTTGCTTTCATTTATTTTCTGTATAGTTAGTTTATTTTTTATTTTATTTATTTCTCCTTGAATCTTTATTGTTTCTTTTCTCCTGGCATTTTTTTGATTTTGTTGTTGTTTCTTTTCCAGTTCTCTGAGGCATGATGTTAGGTTTTCCATTTGCCATCTTTTCATCTCTTTCTTATGAACACTAATTGCTATGACTTTCCCTTTTATGACTCTTTTTGCTGTGTCCCATAGATTATGGAAACTCATGTACTCATTATCACTGGTTTCAATAAAATCTTTTTATTTCAGTCTTAATTTCTTCAGTGATTGTGAAGTCATTCAGGAGTAGGGTATTTAGTTTTCATATGATTGTGGTTTTTTTCATGTTTTTTCATGAAATTAATATCAAGCTTAATTCCATCATGGCTAGAGAATGCTGAATATAGTTTCTATGCCTTTGACTCTGTAAAGTCTTGATTTGTCCCCTATCATATCATCTATCTTCAAAAAGCTTCATGTGGGGGTAAGAAAAATGTATATTTCATGTTTTTTTGAGTGGAAGTTTCTATAGATGTGATTTATGGCATCATTTAGATTCTTTATCTCTTTGCTTATTTTTTTGTCTAGGTGATCTGTTCAAAGGAGATAGTGAGGTGTTGAGATCCCCAACAATTAGTGTGCTGCAATCTCTCTCTCCTTTAGATCTAACAATCTTTCCTTCACGTATTTGTGTGCTCCTGAGTTGCGTGCATAGATATTTATAAGTGTTATGTCTTCTTGATGAATTAGCCCTTTTGTTATTATATTACACCTTGTCTCTTTTTACAATTTTTGTTTTAAAGCTTATTTTGTCTGAAAGTAGTATCATGACTCCAGCTCTCTTTTGGTTCCCATTCGGAATGCCTTTTTCCAGCCCTTTACTTTTAGTCTATGTATATCTTTATCTTTGAAATGCACTTATTGTAGGCAACTGTTAGAAGGTTTCTGTTTTTTTTTATATATTTAGTCAATCTGTGTCTCTTGTTTGGAGAACTTAATCCATTGACATTCAGCATTATTATCGATATTTCTGAACTTGTCCCTAACATTAAGTTGACCATTTCTTGGTTATTTTTATTCTCTTATTTATGTCTGTCTCTTTTTTAATTTTCCTGGTATGGCACTCTCTTCAGAATTTCTTGAAGAGCCGGTCTGGTATTGATAAATTATTTCAAGTTTTGTTTATTTGAGAAAGTTTTTATCTTTTCTTCTCATTTGA